TTTTAGCACCATTAAAGACCTTAGAAGGATATAATATTACCTAAGTTAACAGAAAGTGCATTTAAAGCAACTTTTAAAATTTTAGAATTAGCAGAGACAGCTTGCTGCCTGGAGAGTCACCCAAAGCTGTAACGTTGGGGCATCCATCTTTAGCCCATAGTATCTGTATGCCCCTCTACAGACCCATAGTATCCGGTAGACTCTTTTATGATATCGGAAATTCAAAAAACTGTTTCACCTCTTTAGGCAGTTTGTCACTTTTTTTTTTTTAGTATCCTGTAGAATGTCTGGCAGACTCTTTCATAAAACAGGAACCCTGAAGGATAGTCTCACCTTTTTAAGGTAACTTAAGCAGTCATTTTTTTTTTATGGGTTCCTGCATGTCCAATTTATACAGCATGCTATCAAGCAGTCCAGGCAAGAGAAGTTTCTTACCCAAATGTTCAACAAACTCTTTAAAGAACCTCTTTGATGTTCATCATTCTCCTGAAGTAGATTGGGGCTGCTAGGAGCAGATGGGTCTCATTGTCATGAAAAATCCTAAGTTTTTAAAACATTTTAAATGCCATATTCTGTTAGTCTTTGAAAGGTTTGTAGAATACCTGTCCATCTGAAATATATCTCTGTACATTAATAAACCTAACTAACATGACTACAGGCTTGACTATTATAGATGATTATTAACCTGTATTTCTTAATTATACATTACATTTTTAAATGAGCCGTAGAAACACAATACGTTAATCAAGAACAGAAGTATACATATAACAAAATTGACCTAAAATTTGTATCAATAAACCAAGATCCATACCAATGCAAAGGATTCATCTCTATAGCATATCTTCCTTTAATTGTAAACAAATGTTTTTAAACATTCATTTAGGGAATTTGGGCACATGACAAATGGTCACCCATTTCTCTCATGTAGATATCAGGATATGGAATTAGTAATTGTAGAGTGTTACGTGTTTGCACTTTAAATTTTACCATTTTTACAGTTGGACTTCAGGGTGTATTAGTTTATTTTGCTCTTCTCCTACCTATATGTTGTTATTTACTAGTTTTTTTTATTATTACCATTCTTAAGACTTGCAAGTTAGCTGCCAATACTTTATATATTATTCTTTTTATTTTTACTTTTATCAGATTCTTTTCTCATTGTCCCTTTTTAAATTTTTGACTGTCTTTCTGGGATATTGCCCTCCTTGGGCAGAAATACTTCTTACAATCATTTTTTAAAATTTAAATTTCTATGTGTAGTTTTACTATGTGTGTGTTTGCTTGCTTGTATGCACCACATACTCTATGCTATCAAGGGACAATATGCAAAAGTTGGTTCATCTTTTCTACCAGATGACTTCAAGGGATTAAAGTCAGATCTTTAGGCTTGGTGGCAAGCACCTGTATTCTCTGAGCTATCTCACTGCCCGTTTGCAGTTTTTTGAAGTAAGTCAAATCCTAGAATTTTGGACTGTGTTACCCAAGATTATATATGTAGTAGTGGAAAAGGTGAGGTGGAAATGAGCTCTTTTTCTTTAAATGTCAGATTATCCACATATATTTTACGATTTTTGGATAACATTTGGTGTAACCCACTTCTGTGGAATCTGTCCATTATACCAAAAGTATTCAGATGAAGTTGCTTTTGTATTATCTATTATACTATCTCATGCTACTTTGTCCTTCCTTCCTTTCTCAATGTGAAATACACAGTTTAAAAACCTTTAAAAATTAAAAATAATTTTAAAGAAACCTTGAAAGCGTTATTTATTTATTTTATTATTTGTAGAGGTACACTTTCTAGAAAGATTTGGTATTTCTAAGCCCCAATATATTGTTTCCTTCTCAACATTCAGTAAATTACTTCACTAAAATGCAAATGATGTATAGTTAAGAAAAAGTCTTTCAGTTGGGCATGGCGGTGCATGTCTTTAATCCCAGCACTCAGGAAGCAGAGACAGGCGAATGCACTGACTTTGAGGATAGTCTGGTTTACATAGTGAGTTCCAGGATAGCCAGGGCTGCATTGAGAGGCCCTATCCTTCCCCCTGTATCTCCCCCCACCCCCCAAAAAAGGACAGAAAAGAAGAGGAAAGAAAACATCTTAAAGCCACAGATATTAGAGGTATACATAGCAGTTCTTAATTTCAGGTTAGTTTCCTATTGGTGGACACTGTGTAGGAGCCTATTTTCTAGTTTTAACTGCTCACGTTACTCAGCAGAATTCTATTCCACATTCCTGGTTTTAATATAGAAAAAATGGCTAATCCAGATTTACAAGCTAGGAATATTGGATTGTTTATGAACACATATCCATTTCTTTCTTTTTTTAAACTTTAAATTTTAAATAAAATTGCAGACTCATAGGAAGACATTTCAGGAACATATCATATCACATGTAGTTCCTCTGAATTTCCAGTCAGTTTTCTTTATGTAAAAAATAGGAGTGTACAGCTTGACTCCCCATATTGTATGATAGAAAACAGCATCCCCCATCTAGTCATCAAAGTCAGGCATTTTCTCAAGAAAATGAAAACAACCCACCTAGTGGTTTTGGACACTTTAATTTAAAAAGTAACGTTTTTATATCAATTCAGATAGTAACAGATTTTCTAACAGAAGATGACTACTTCTATTTTTTTTTTGTCTATGTCAACATCCTTGTCTTATTTTCTTAGTGAAATTAAGTTTATATATACAGGTCTTGTTATGTAAAGTAAGAGTAATTCTTCAGGTTGTTCTTCTTTTTAAAATTTAAATAATGAATAGATCTCTTTCCGTGTCAACTTACAAAAATTTATTAAATTGCTATTTCTCTTTCTCTCTCTCACCAGGGTTTCACACTGTAGCCCTAGATGGCCTACATCTGGCTATGTAGCATAGATGCACAGCATTCTTGTATCTTCCTGTCTCCACTTCACTCATGCTGGGATTATAAGCATTCACAGCTTTATTTCTGTATCTTAACTATTAATGATTTACCTATTTCTGGATGCTATGTTGGCAATATTTTGCGCTTTGATATAATGATTGCTAACAATATATTTGTTATATGGGTGTGTGTATGTAGAAGAATTTCTTGTACAGGCAGTATATTGAATAAAAGACACAGGCTTTTATTTATTTCTTCATTATCAGCAGTTTATTATACCAAATAAGTTTCCAGTCACCTTTGGGTGATATTTTATTTATTTATTTTGGTTTTTGGAGGCATGGTTTCTCTGTGTAGCCCTGGATGTTCTGAAACTCTCTGTGGAGACTAGCTTAGCGTTAACTCAGAAACCCAAGTGCTGAGAATAAAGTCCTCTGCAAAACCCCCTCAGGTGTTATTTTATTAATAGTATAAATTAGATATGTACCAGTGTTATTATTTATAAAATGATTCGCCCCTATCTGGGACACTTTCTGTACCAATGCTTCTTACTTCTTATAGGATGGTGGCACTTCCTTTAATCCCAGCACTCAAGGGACAGAGACAGGTGAATCTCTGTGCATTCAAGGCCAGTCTGGTCTACAAAGTGAGTTCCAGGACAACCAGGGCTGTTACAGAGAGACCTTGTGTCAAAAAACAAAAATGGGGAGGGGGCGCCCATTTCATCTGTATTGATTTGTAGTATGATTTCTGTTAAAAATTAAAATATTATTGTTTATTATTTCTATTTCTTCTTTTTTTTTTAGTTTCTTTGATATTTTCTCTGCTTTTCTGAAGTAAGAAGTTCAGCTTCATAGCAGACAGTTGAGTACTGATAGGGCTAATTGTCACATTTAGTCCTTAGATGAGTCAGTTGTTCTCTCTGCTCTTCAGTGTGACCTTTAAAATCACTTTGTTCAATTTTGTGTTGTTTCTAAACCTTTGTGCTCTAGGACTGCATCCAGATGTAGACTTGTTTGCAGCTTTTCCATTTTCAACTGCATGTAGTGATTGCAACTCACCCTTCAGCATGAAATTGTTAACTGTGATGTTCAACTCTCTGTAACTTAAAAAGAATTCACATTTCACAAAGCATGATTGGGCTAGAAAGGTCTATTTGTTCTCTGTTTGATTTTTTTTTTAAACAGGCTTTTTGTAGTACTTACTATAGAAATATTTTATAATACATCTATTTGTTCAGCAGTTTTTACTGGCATCATATTACATACTTGTAAGCAGATATGGCATGCTTGCTTGGTTTTAAGCTATATTTTCTCTGGCAAAAATTTTTCATTAATATAATTATATATGTAACTATAAGTGATTAATTTTTTAAAAATTATCATTCTACTGTGTTTTTTTTAAAGAGTTATCTATTGTTAGGTATATAGTTTTGGCATCAGCTCTCATAGATGACTGTGAGCTGCCATGTGGTTGCTGGGAATTGAACTCAGGACCTCTGGAAGATCAGTCAGAGCTCTTAACCTCTGAACCATCTCTCCAGCCCAAGTGATTAAATTGATTTTTATCAGTTCCTTTTGTTAATTGTGGTACATTTTGCTTATCATAATTGTTATGTTCCTTATTAGCTTTTAAGTGGACGATGCATTGTCAAGTGTGCATAGCTTTGAACGTTTTAGCAATATTATTGTTATTATTATTATGAAAGAGGATGATATTATGACAGAGAATGAGTATGTCATGGTGTGTGCGTAGAAGTCAAAGGAAAACTTTATGGACTTGGTTCTCTCCCGTGTGAACTCTAGTGATTAAGCTCAGGTCAGTAGGCTTGTGTAGCACATGTGTTCACCCACTGAGCCATTTCATTGGTCTCAGGTTATTTTATAACTGAAGGTCTTTATTTTATATTTCTCTAAAATGTGTTATAAACAGTGTTCAGATCAGTATTAAATGTCTTAGCTGGAAAAAAATGGGAATTCTTTTAGTTTCTATTGCATTTGAAACCTAATATAATGCCAGGTTTTTTCTTCATATGAGAAAAATTTCTGAAATCTGTCCTGTGATTATAGCAAAAGTTAGTATTTTTCCTGTAGTAAATGGTATGTTTTTGATTTTTTTTCTCATGCAGGTCTTCAGAGTTCTACATTTTAGCTCTCAGTGCTGAATTTCCTTCTCCCTTAAATTATTATAAACTTTGCTGCTGTCTAACAAGCCTAAAGATGTCTCGCAGTCCTGATGCAAAGGAAGACCCTGTGGAATGCCCTCTTTGTATGGAGCCCTTAGAGATAGACGATATTAACTTTTTCCCTTGCACCTGTGGCTACCAGATATGCCGATTTTGTTGGCATAGAATTCGCACTGATGAGAATGGGCTTTGTCCTGCGTGTAGAAAGGTAAGTGCTTCTAAACAACTCTATTTTACTATCTGGATTTTTACTGTCCAATATTAACTGTATAGTTATTTCCCCTTAGCTGGGAGTGATTGGCTTTAAAACAAACTATTCAGGTCCAAGTTCCATTTCAAGCCCCTTCCCCTGGAAGTTGCCTCAGTCCAGACTCCACCCCTCAAGAAAGCCCACCAAACGATGACCCCTCCCCAGAGATGCTCAAGACCATTCCCACAGGATATTTAAGCCTCCTCCCCCCTCCCAACAAACAAGTCTTCCACCCAACACAAACATTGTGTGATCTTTAAGGTGTAATGGAGTAGGGAGAGTACACTGGACTGGGAGTCATGGTCAAGTGTTGCCTTTGTTGTGTTAACTAGCAGTGTTGCTTCTGTAAAGTCATATAATTTCTCTAGCCAAGGAAACGGACACAGTCTTGGTGCTTTCTTATTAAGAAGATTCATAAAGAACCATTGAGTTTGGATATGATAATATGGAACTTGAAAAACATGTTCTGTATTAATATGTGGGGTGATTCGCACTAGTTTTCTAGTACTAAATAGGAAAGTAGTTCACCAGAGTTAGAAAGCAGAGAGGGGCATTCTGACACTCAGCCTACCTTTTACCTTTTCATTCAGTTGTGCACCCCAGTCCATGGAATGATGCCAGTCACATTAGTGTGGGGTATTGCCCCCTCCACTAGTCCTATCTGGATACAGCCTTTGAGACATGCCCAGAGGTGTGTGTGTGTGTCTAGATGATTTTAAATTCAGTCAGATTGACAATGAAAATTAATCATCACATCTTTCTGGGATCTTTCTACTCAGTTTTAAGTGACTGCCATCCATTTGTTATTATTAGTAGTACTGATAACTGAGTCTTTAGTACTTATTTATGCAGGTCATATTTTAATCACTTTTAACTGTCTTAACTCCCACAGAACTTCTAGTTAAATGTGCTTCTCATTTTACATTTGAGAAGGCTGGGGCTAATGGTCATATGGTTTTGGAGCAGCTTGGCTAGAATTCAAAGCCTGGCCCTCTGATTCCATATTTTTGGTCCACCAGTGACCCTGATGTTAGCTGTTGGAGTGAAGATACTATAATCCTGAGAAGGAAAAGAAAAAGACACACAACAGAGAAATTGCTGGTATTTTTTGAGGACACAATGATAAATCTTTACATCATATTTTAGGATTTTTTTGTTCTTTATACATAAGGATACTGCGGCTTAGAGACCGGTTTGTTTACAGGCACATGACTAGATAATGTTAAAACTAAACTTGAACTCTTGATCCAAAGTCTAAACATTTATGCTCATCTTTCTTCCTCTTAGACTAGGAATGTATTTAAGATGATCAATCAAAAAGGATGTGGTCTAGGACGTGGCTCAGTAGGTCAAGTACTTACTGTGCACTCCTGAAGACTAGAGTTCAATCCTGAGCATCCATGTAAAGTCAGGCATGTTTTTATGTCCCCAGCAGCTGTGGAATAGGGAAGGATCCCTGGAGCTTGCTGGCCTGCTAACATAGCCATCTGTGGACTTCAGATTCAGTGAGAAAGTCTGTCTGAAATAAATGAGGTAGAGACTTCCACATGTACACCCAAACCAGCACATACATTCAAACAAGCATATAAGCTTAATATTTTAGCACGTAATAGGATTTCCTTAAATATTTGTTGATTATAATATATAAAATCCATATTTTGTTGATAGAACTACCAGGAAATTCTTTGATATTTTTAATGTATTTAACATAATTTCTTTATTGAATCTTTAGGAATTTCACATCATACATCCCAATTCCATTCACCTCCCAGTCCTTCCATATCTTCCCCTCTCCCCAACAATAGCTCTCAAACAGATATTAAAAAACAAATCAAACAAAAACAAAACAAGCAGCAAACAAAAAGAAAAACAAAAGAGCCAAAATAACAAAAACCCTCTCTGCTCTTCCATCTTTCCTGACTCTCTAACGCCTCTTCATTCATCCTGGTAACACTGGGAGCCATGGTGTGTCACACAGTACACCCTTTTGTCAAATCAGCTTTACTAGCAAATACTCATTGCAGGAGTCACTGGTTCAAGGCCTCTGGTTTCTGGTACACCATCATCATTGGATCCTCTCTGGAACTCCTCTTAGATATCTCATGGCCACCCCATTTTGGAGATCCTGTGGGTTTTGTTCCACAGGACCAGTCCCTTCATGAGCTCCAAGGTCCAAGATGTGGTGGATGTTAGGGTGGGCCAATTCAAGGGTCCAGTGAGGGTCAGAGCCAAATGTCCTAGGCCTGGTTCAGCATGGCTCTCTGATTCCATCACACATGGTACCCATTATCCCCTGAGACTACTTGGGCAACAGATATCAACACAAACCCCAGCTACAGCAGGACCATAGACCCAGCCTGGATAACATCCTAGCTCCGGATGGGAGTATAGACCCTCAGGATGGTTCTAGTGGCAGCATGGCCCTCAGACATGACCAAGGTAATAGATTAGGACCCTAGCCTCCAGCTTTTGGGTAATCTTTGGTGGCAACACAGACCCTGGCTGCTGTGAGACCGCAGATCCAGAAAAGGTCTTAGACATGGTCCTTGGGAACAGCAGGTCTGGATGTCACCATTACCCCAGGTGACAGTGCAGGCTACTCAGAGCAGCACAGCCCCAGTGACATTAACTTGACCTCAATTCTTGGGCATTCACATGGTCTTTGATGGTAGCAGAAACCTTGGACATTAACACAGACCCTAACTGCAGCAGGGCCAATGACCCAGACATGGCCCCCAGCTGCAGCTTTGACCCCAATGTCACCCTGTCATTGGGTAGCAGCACATATCACTTCGATCTGCTCGACCCTGGCTCCAAGCATGTCCGTTAACTACCAATGTAATCTTTGGTGGCTAACCTGACCCTGGGCATCCACATGACCCTTAACTTAAGCACAGATTCTGGCCGCAATAGGACCATGGACCCAGACATGGTCACTGGTAGCAGCCTGGGTGCAGAAGTCACCATGGCCCTAGTTGGCTGTGTGATCCACTCAGATTGGCATGATCCTGGCAGTATTGTGGCTCTCAGACACCCACAGGGCCCAAGGTGGTGGCTCAGATTCCAGAAATCCGCACGACCCTTGTGACAACAGGAGCTATGAACATCAGCACAAGCCCTGGCTGCTATAGCACCAGGGCCTTCAGCAGCAACCTGGGCCCGGATCTTCGTTGCTTTTTACACAGTGTTTTAGAAGCACTGTGTGCAAGGTATAATACCAAGATTGATTAGGTTGATTTTTGTCATTTTGACATTTGTGCTAAAAGTGATCTCTGCTAAGCTTTAAAAAAATGTTTTATAACTTTTAACTTTTATTTAATAAAAATATTGGAAAGCAGTTGAAACAGTCAGAAGACACTGTCTTACACCTGCTGCTCAGAATTGGATATTTGTCATTTCTGCAGTTTTTCTATTTAATGCTAACTTTATCTTATTTACTATACTTATAGCCATATCCAGAAGACCCAGCAGTTTATAAACCACTCTCACAGGAAGAATTGCAAAGGATAAAGAATGAGAAAAAACAGAAACAAAATGAGAGAAAACAAAAAATTTCAGAAAATCGAAAACATTTGGCTAGTGTACGTGTGGTACAAAAAAACCTCGTCTTTGTTGTAGGTCTGTCACAGCGCCTAGCAGACCCAGAAGTAAGTCCTCTTCTGCTTTCATTGTCAGCATGACAGTCTTTTATGTTTGCTCTCTCATTTGAAAGTAATTGATACTGATAAACTGGAAGACTCCTCTGAAAATAATAAGTCTTGGGTGAAAGTATGAATAATAATAATAATGTTTAATAATGGTTAAGAACCTGCGGCAAATTGTAATCTTAGGCATGCCTTCATCTTTTTGGGCTTCAGTTTCTATTGTGAAACTAAGGGCTTGAACTAAAAGTCCCTTTTAGTGCTTGTGAAAATAATGTTCCAGTTGTCCTTAGGGTTAACATGAGTTGTGAGTACTGTTTTTTTCTTTTTCTCTTTTCTTTTTTTTCTTTCCCTTTTCTGTAGCTGTGTGACCAAGTAATTGGAGACACAGTTACTTGAACCTATTAAGTAATTTTAATGAGCTACCCAAGTAGTCATGTGTCTGCCACAGTGAATGCGTAGAGGTCAGATGACTTTGCAAGCTCTGTTCTCACCTTCTCCAAGGTTCTGCGGCTCTAACTCAGGTCCTCAGCCCCAACAGTGAGTGTCTTTACCAGCTGAACCATCGCTGAGCCATCTTGGTGCTCCCCAAGTAGTAGCTCTTGTTCGTTCAGAACTGTTGTAGTTTATCATCATTCCTTTACTTTGTCATTCTAAACCAGTTTTATGGAAAGGAGAATTTGACAAAGTTAAAGACCAAGTTTTTTTGTGGTTTAATTCTCTAATTGATGTCTCTTTTCTCCTCCTTCAATTAGTCTTTTTAAAGTTTCTCTGATCTCATACATTCTTGCGGGCTTTGGATATACATCTGCTAATTTTTAATCTCCACTATACCATGAGGTGCCAGCAAGATTATTGGGAAGGCACATTAAAGCTGAGTATCAGCTAGAATGTTTGCATCAGTAGGAAAGTGCTAACTCTGGATAGTCTTCCAAGAAAAGTTTTTGAAAACGGTTGGAGGTACTGTTCCTCATGGTGCTGGAGATTAGCTCTGTAGTGGAACACTCACTGTCTATTGCCGGCAACTTTTTTTTTTTGTTTGTTTTTGTTTTTCGAGACAGGGTTTCTCTGTAGCTTTGGTGCCCGTCCTGGAACTAGCTCTTGTAGATCAGGCCGGCCTTGAACTCCCAGAGATCCACCTGCCTCTGCCTCCCGAATGCTGGGATTAAAGGCGTGCACCCGGCCTTCGACAACTTTTTCTAACTGTGGCAAATACCTGGTGGGTGGGGAAAAACGTAAAACAAGATTTATTTTGATGCATAGTTTCTGTCTGAGATTTCATTTAGCTGGCTCTTGCTTTGGGCCTAAGGTGAGATAGATTATCCTGCTAGGAACTGAATGTGAAAGAAAACGCTGCTGCTCATCTCAGGCAGCCAAAGGCAGACTTCAGTGACCCACTTCATCTGCATCGGCCCCACTTTTTATAGTTTCTACCACCTCCCAGTACTCCATTCAGGTATGAATCCATTAGCAAATTGATCGTTGATTAGAACAAAGCTTTCATATCTACTAGCTACAGACCAAGCCTTCAGTATGTGATCATTTTGGCAGGAGATGGGGAGGGAGGTAGGGGTTAACTTTATATCTAACCATAACTGAACCTGCTGGCTTTTTTTGTAAAGACTAAATATTTACCAATTGATGAGTTTATATTAAGACCTTAAAATTTCTTCAGATCAATAGAGGAGAATCTCAGGAAGAACCTATCATGAGCATTAAAATTGATGCAACTCAAGAACTACTAAGATCTGGGTTAGTAAGATGGCTCAGTGACCTGAGTTCAGTCCCTGAATCTCATGTAATTTAGGTAGAAAGAGAATAGTAACTCTACAAAGCTGTCTCCTGACCTCAACATATGTGTGCCATGGTACATGTATACTCCCCCATCCTGCCCTCTACAGCCGCTACACACAAAAATTACTAGGAATCTAGGTCCAGGGAACTTGGCAATACTGTTTACATCTCATTTTGGAGACCTATTTCTTTGCAGAGGTATTGGTAAGAATTCATACCTGTGGTCTAAACATTCAGGATGGTAAAACAAGAAGACCATGGGTTTGTGACCATCCTGGCTATTTAATGAGTGTTGGGCCATCCTGAGCCACAGAAGGAAGGTCCTGTCACAAAATAACAAAGAAAAGATTTCAAGCAAACAAAGGACTTCAGTAAGAAATATTGAAGAAATATTAAGATCTACAGCTCATCTTCAGCAGTTGTTTCTTCCATCTTGTTTGTAAGCTTTCATTTTTTGCTTTCCTGAGGCAGACATACTCCCACCTCTTTTGTGACCACTTCTCTTGAACAGGACTAAACCTTTGCCCTAATCTGTTTTTGTCCCTTTCAGCTCTGCCTTTAAAACAACGTTTTATTCTCCCTCTCTCCCTCCCTCCTTCCCACGTGTGTGTGTGTGTGTGTGTGTACCCTCACACTCATGATCTGGAGGTCAGAGGATAACTTTAGCAAGTTGGTTCTTTTCTTTGACCTTTATTTTATGTGGGCTCTGGGGTTAGCAAGAGCTTTAACCTGCTGAGCTTACCTAAAGAGGTTACTTCTGTCTTTTTGTTACTTTTTGCTAATCTTAGAGATTACTTTTGTCTTTCTGAAATTGCTATTTCAGTAACTTGCTGGGACTTTGATCTTGATTTTAGAGCTTTTGGGTGTGAATTTATCTTTTGTTTTATAAATCTTTAGTTTAGCCAGCTCTTACAATGTGGAGCAACATTTAGAAGTGGATTGATTATCAAGTGTATTCTTTCATTAGTAAGTAGAAAAGAATCTTAGAAGCTATGGTAATTTGATGATGATTAAGAGGTAATTTTTATATATATCTATGTACATTATATATGTATATATATATGTATTATATATATTAAAGTCCTAAAAATGTAGTTTTAAAATAACTTTTGTATGTCAGAAAAACTTATATCAAGATCAGTTATCAAGTGTACTCCTTTATTAGCCAGAAAGAAGAAAAACATTTCAGAAGCTATGGTAATTTGATTAAGAGATAATTATATCTTAAAAGTTATAAGATATCAAGTTTGTGGAGATAAATTTGAATTTTATGAATGCTGTGTTTGATACTGAAGGTAAATTAGGTAGCATGCCAGACATAGACTGCTCTTAGCAAATTTATAGGTTAGAGAAAACAGAACTGAAGTGCTCACACATTCCTGAGCATTTATGAAAAGAGAAGTAGGGGACTGAAGAGATGGTTCAGCATTTCAGAGCACTTAGTGTTCTTGCAGAGGTTCTGGGTTTGGTTCTGAGTACCTACAGGTGGCTCACAATCATCCTTTTAAATCCAGTTCCAGCAAGTCTAACATTCTCTTCTGACTTCTGAGGGTACTACATGAACATGGTGAATGTGTGTATATATGCACTTAAAAACCTCCCCAAGAAAAAAATGATAAAGTTCCGCTTTGAGAATTAATAATATTAGCTGTGCAGCAGTAAGATTAGGTCGTGTCCTGGGTATGTGGTAGCTCTAGAGAGCATTGAGGAATGTGGCTACTAAAGCACAACTATTTCATTTTATAAATGAGAAACTGAGGCAAAGCAATTTGAATGACTGGTTTATTGATAGAGCTTCTCCTATTCTGGTGTAGTCTGTGGTGATGATTGCTTTGTTAGTCCATTCATTATCCACTAAGCAGCCTTTGAGTGCCACGGTTTTGGTTTTATTAGTGGTGTCCATGAATGCTTGACTGTTTAAAAAAAAATGCCTCTGTTTATCAGTAGTTTAGGCAAAAAATCTATAGTGTTCATGTTAATATGTAATGTTTAAATTCTTTGAATTTCCTTTGCCATAATAGCCTATTTTATATCAACCATTGGTTATTCACTAACACTTAGAAGCCTACCAGTATTATTGATGTACACATTCAAATTTTGCTTCTCATTTTGAGACCTGTTGCCCATACTGGCCTTGAGGTCCTGAAAATCCCTCTGTCTCAGGCTTCTGTTATGAGCTACCACACCTAGATTTTTTATGTAATTCTTTTCACTTAATGCTAACACAATTCATTTTTTCATTTAAAACCCATTGAGTACCTAAATCATGCCAGCTGTGTGTAACACACTGAACATATACAATATATAAAACAGCACCTGTTTATTTGCAGAGGTAACACTCTTGTGTGAGGAGCACTGTGTTGCACATTAGGACAGTAGCAGACTGTTGCAGGGTCTGCTTGTCCTTGCTATCTTTGGGCTAAAGTGTTTTCCTAATCAGGGAATGTCCAAGGGTTTCTAAAGAGAAACCTCTTCATGCAATCTGATTTCTTTGTCTGGAAGGTTAGAATTCAATGGTGAGAAAAGTGGTTGGGGCAAGTTGAGTGGCATATAATTTTGAAAGGTTTGCCAACAATTCTGAGGAGTTTGTATTTTATCCTAAAAGCAATAGAAAGCTGCTGAGTGTTCTCAAGAATAGAATGATGTGCTTGATCTCTGCTCAGGAAATACCATTCTGGCTATCATACGGGCATGTCAATTGTAATTTTATACCTATCCTATTTTTTGTCATGAAGGTGTTAATGCCCAAATGCTTACCAGAAACTATTTCCATAAATCAGATATTCAACTCTTCAACTCTAAAAGTGGTTCATTGATTACTTTTAACAATCTAATACTATATAATGTGTCTTCCTTTTTTGTTTTGTTTTGTTAGATCACATTTATTTGTATTTTAGTATGAATTTTTGTGTGATATAGAGTACTTGAATCAGAATATTTTGGGGAAAGACCTGTATCAATAATTTGCCAAAACCCCCAAATTACTTCCAATGTACAACCAGAATCCAGAATCACTACTCTTAAATGAAACATCTATTCCTCCCTCCCTCCCTCCCTCCCTCCCTCCCTCCCTCCCTCCCTCCCTCCCTCCCTCCCTCCCTCCCCCTCCTCCTTTTTGTTTGTTTTTCGGGACAGGGTTTCTCTGTGTAGTCCTGTCGCGCTTTGTAGACTAACCTCAAACTCCTAGAAATCTTCCTGTCTCTGCCTCCTAAGTGCTGGAATTAAAGGCATGTGCCGCCACCACCTGGCTACCTATCTTTTTCTTAATGACTTACTTTCACTGGACCAGTCAACAGCATTTAGCACACAAACACTATTACTTTCTAAATAATGGTTCCCTGAGTTCGCCCTTGCCTTTATTTCTATAAGCCTGTACTCTACCCCATTGCCAAACAGATTGTAGCCTTCATTTTTCTTACCATATTCTTCAGTTTTTATTAATATAAGGGCCTGCATACTACATGACCTTATCGCAAACTACCTCTCTGGTCATATATGCCACTGTTTTTCTGTTGGGTTAGTCTAAGCTCTTGTTCTCTTCTGTGCCCTAAATCCTCTTGTATCAGGTGGGATGCCTGTATTCCAGTTTCTAGGAGACAGCATAGGTTTCCCAGAAGTGAAAAAAACCTCCATAGCATATAACATCTTTTTTTGTTTGTTTGTTTTGTTAACTCTGTAGACCAGGCTGACCTTGAACTTTGAGATGTACCTGCCTCTGCCTCTCAAGTGCTGGTACTACCACACCTGTCATATGTAATGCCTTCAAAAGACAAGGATGAAGAAGTGTACATATGAATAGGATACTTAGATAAAAAACTAGAAAAGTATGAACAAAATCCCAAAAGGACATTTCACTTTCCTTGAAAAGACTTATGAACAGGAACAATTCAGTGTTTCAAATATCACTAATACAATTAAAAATGAATTCTTGATGGTATAAACTCTCTGTATAATTCAGAATATATATCAAGGAAAACAGTGAGGAAAAGACCTTTTTTGCATGTCAGTGCTTGGGCACAGCTGCTCTAGAACCTACCTACCTGTGTTCTTTGCCATTTCAAGCCAGAAGCATTATTATTACTTTGGAGTTTACAATCTCAAGTCTTAGGTCTGTCTTAGACCTATTGAATATGAATTTCTTTTTTAACTTGTCTCTCAAATGGTTTTACATCAATATTCAGTTTCTATTGGAATAGTGTTTTTATACTACAAAATAACCTTTCATCTAATTTGTAGAATCACTAGGTATAACAGTTAATGATGTATATTATTACAGGTAGTGTAACATAAAGGCTGGCTTGCTTGGGTTTCTGTCCTGCCCGGTACCCCACAGCTAGAAAGCCCCAAAGAAAATCACACAGAGATCTCTATAAGTTATAAAGTTGATTGGCCCATTAGGTCAGGCTACTTATTAGCTCTTGTAGCTTATATTAACCCATTATTCTGATCTATGTTAGCCATGTGGCTCAGTACCATGTGGCTCAGTACAAGTGGGGGCAGATCACATCCTGCTGCTTTGGTGATCTGGGCAGGAGTGGGAGGAATCAACTTCCTCCTTCCCATAATTCTCCTGTTCTCATTGCATCATTTCTACTTCCTGTCTGGTTTTCCCACCTAAACTTCCTGCCTGGCCAATCAGCGTTTATTTAAAACATGATTGACAGAATACAGACAATTCTCCCGCACCAAGGTAGTATATGTATTGGCAATGTTGTGCCATGAAATGATGTGATTTCTGCAAAAGAACTAGTAAATTTCAAAGTATGTATACTCTTTCTTTCCTTAATTACATATCATCTGTAAATTAAATTTTTGTTATAACTGAGAAAATACTTTATATATAATTTGAAAATTCTAACTTCCCTTAACTATAAACAGTCCTCATAGTTATATTCGTATGTTGTAGGACGTTCAGAGGTCTAGAGGACCACTGTTGGGCAGGGCTAGTTTGAACCATGGAAGAATCCCTGGTTTCCTTCCTTTGAATGCTTGGAGTGTCCCCCCAGTTAAAACTTCCGCTGATCTCTAAAGTGCTCCCCCAGTGCTTCCTTCATTGAGCTGCTACTATAGGCCCACTTATGATCAGAGCTGCTGCTGGACAGCAGCTGCGTGCTGCCAGCCTTGGGTGCCTGGTAGCTGAATTCCAGCCGGAATATTGAATGCCATTTCAAATTCTACAGACTAGAAGAAAACCCCCTTTCAAATGACTTCCTTCTCCATCTTTAAGCCCTCAAACATTCTGGGCACGAGATTTCGTTTCATTAGCTACCATTGTTGTTTTGTCAGTTAAGGAGTCTGGGTAGGAAAAAAGTGGAAAACCATTGTAGTCACCTTTTAATCCATTAAAACTGGCTGTAGATAATCTTTTATTATAAACAGTCAAAATGTAGTGAGATTAAGTTGAAAACTGTTAAGAATTAATGGCACAACATAGACTGTTCATTGGGCAAGAGGTTACTGTGTAAATTTCTAGGAGAAGAACAAAATTTAATGTTGAGGTAGTTCCAAGTCATGGGAGAGATTTTGTATTAATCAAGGTTATGGAAGTTTGTAAGAAAATCTAAAAGAGCACTGTAGTAATGACAGAGTAACAGAGGTGAGAGAGAGGCAAGGACAAGAAAACACAAGAAGTGACTAAGGCACTGGAGGAAGAATGTAAATGGATTTTCCCAATGTCACTTAGCAGCAGAGATTGAGGACAGAGTAATCCATGAGACAATTACAAAATAATGAGTTTACTAACATAGGAAATTATACACAAACTGTATAATAAATCATAAAGCATAGAAGGTTGAGGGGATGCTATTAATATATTTGGAATTTATAATCAATGCCTTAGTATAATATACAATAGGTTTATGAGACATAAATGTCATTACTTAGGTCTGTTCTTTGTCTCTCTGTTCTTGTATATAATTTTGATCATTACTACTTCATGAAAATCATTTATTAGTGATAATATAGTTGAATTCTGTGAAGGTAAGATCCCATAGATAATTGATTAGAACATAGGAATGCCAAACAATTCGTAAGTCTCAGTTCAAAAAAAAGAATAGCTCTTACACTCTTAAAATATACTGTGAGTTAGCTGCATAAATGCACTTAGGAGGTAGTTACATTAATTAGAAACTTAAAAAATTACCAGTGTGCTTTTCACTTACAAGGGATGGTGAATGTCCCCATTATAAGGATAAAAATGATTAAACGGGGACAGTTTATGCCTTATTTCTTCTTCTTTTATAGGTTTTAAAACGACCAGAGTATTTTGGGAAGTTTGGTAAAATACATAAAGTTGTCATCAATAATAGCACATCATATGCAGGCTCACAGGTAACTCATTATAGGGATTTTTGCCTTTCCTCCCTATGGTCTGGGCTTGTCCTGGGCTGTCAGAAGGAAAATTTGCTTTCTGTAGTCAGAAGGCTTGAGGGTCAAAGGAGTTATATATACAGTGCAGTGACTTATGTTGGTGGGCTGGGGGAATTTTTATGTTCATTTGATCCCTCAGGACTTAGAGTGAATGGCTTGATGGAATAAAAAGGAAATAGAAAACAAAAGTTTATTGACGGGATTAAGGGGTGGGGGTGGTTACCAGGCGACCTGATAATTAGATAATGATTTATAATCAATATTAATTTTAGATATTGAAAACTTAACAGAGCAGCTTTGTCAGGCTGGCATTAGTTAACAACTTGTACAGATCGCATTTATTATTGAGAGCATTTACTTTGATACAGTGTCTTTAAATCTGACCTTTTAAATTTTTTTGTAACTTTGATGAGCCTGTCAAGTTACTTTTCAAAAATAAGGGGTGTGGGGAGGAAAAATACTATTTTATTTATGTATGTTATAATCCACTTATAGCCAGGTAAAATTTAAGTATGAGTGCTTTTAAATAAACTAATTAAAGGAACAGCATTATATCAAAATTATTCTAATTATTGCCATTATTATTAATAGTGTCAGTAGTAAAAAAAAAACCTCTAGAATTCTTAGGCAGGTTGCAAAAGAATTTTATTTTTCAGTATTAATTTGAAACTAATAACAGTGGGATGGGATGTGCTTTGCTTTAGGGTCCGAGTGCCAGTGCTTATGTAACCTATATCCGGTCAGAAGATGCTCTCAGAGCAATACAGTGTGTCAACAATGTGGTAGTAGACGGCAGGACACTTAAGGTAATATGTTTCTCTTGGTTATTTTCTGTCTTTTAAGAGGAAGGGGTAATATTAAAAAGTAGAGGAGTACCTGATATTTAAGCAGTAACTTGGAAGGCATTTAATTTAAAGATTGTCTTACTGCTTTCTGTACCAATATTTAGTATTGAGCAGTGCTCTGTTTTATTTTATTTACTGGGTAGAAATACACATTATTTAGGGATAATACTTTAAGACTTCGATTCATGTTTTTCTTATTTTATGAAAATAGAACTGTTCTCAGAAACAGGTAATAATTGTGATTTGTTGTTACTAATACGTGATCTTTGGTTTATGTTTGGGCAAATAGTCCCACCAGTGCAAATGAAAAGGATGGCATCGTTAGAAAGAGGAATTTCCCTTCTTCTGTACCAGGCTACTTAATAAACACGGAACAGACTTTTCTCTGCCCTTGATTCCTAGAGAAGAAGGTCTGAATTTGCCAATTCTGGAAAGCATTCACTTAGATTTTCTCTATGTGATCTAAGTGATGTCTACATGAAGTCCACCAGTAATAGTTCAGCTCCATAGTCTTCTCAGTCATGTTTTGTTCTGTGTCTCATTTTAGGTGAAGTAATAACATTAGCGATGGAAATTGATATTGTGGTATCAGTTCATAATTTTGAGTGTGCTTTCCCCTGCTTTGCTTTTCTTCCTACAGGCGTCTCTAGGGACAACAAAATACTGCAGTTACTTCTTAAAGAATATGCAGTGCCCAAAGCCTGACTGCATGTATCTGCATGAATTGGGAGATGAGGCAGCCAGCTTCACAAAAGAGGAAATGCAGGTAGTAAAACTCATGTATGTAAATTACCAATTTAGTATGAAAGGAATTGCTTTTAAAGTTAAAATTATGGGTGAACACTAAGATTTGAGTTTTTTAAAAGGTGGTATTACTTTAAAGTAGCATTTCTAAAGTATTTCTTAAAATGTCTCTTATGCAGACATGGTTACAATAAAAATGAGTCTGTGGTCAGCTAAGTCAGAAAGCGACATTAGTATATCAGCATATGTTCTAGAGGTTTTAATTAATGTGCTAGCATATATTGAAACGGGAACCTAGCTGGCTGCAGGAAACACTTAAGGAGAGTGTCAGCAATAAGAAAGCCAAGGAGTTACAGTAATTATTAGTTGGGTTTTGTCATTGTTGCTTTTGTTTGTTTTTGTTCAACCTCTACTCTTTATAGAATATTCTAGAAAATAATCTGTCCAATGATGCTGATACCATTTTTAAGCAGTGACTCTCCTTTAAAAGTGTCCACAGAGTAGTCAGTGTCCTATAAAAGGTGACTTGAAGGCTTAATATCCTATCTTCTTTTTTACCTTTCCTCTTCTCCTGTCTCCTTTCAATTTGTAGTATAAACATGCTTTTACAAGTAAAAATGTTGACCATACGGCCTATTAAAATGAGGATTATACCAAAGCACAATGCTGCAGTTCCCTTTTGTAGATGAGGACTTCAGATTGTTGCTGTGGACTTTTGCAGGAATCCTTCTCATTTAGAAGGTGGGGGGCATTCATTGCTACTTTTTATTCCAGGTCAAACTAGAAAACATATGAGCTCCTTTAAAGGCAGATTGTATACAGCATGAAGTTTTGTCTCTTTTTGACTTGGAGTAAATGCAGATTAAGTCCCATTATATTAAACATCTTGGTGACTTTTTACAGCATTGTCTTTGAAATTAAAAAAAAAACAGTGTTTAAAATGAGACAAAATACATATTTTTTCAGTTAGTATTTTAAAAGGTTTAATTTTATTGTTTATGAGTGATTTTTTTTTCTTTAAATGAAACTATGTCTTTTGAGTGTGTGCGCATGGGTGTGTGGAAAACAAAGGTACACATAACATGTTTTTTTGGATGGCTCTTCACCTTAATTTTTGAGTCAGGGTCTATTTGGTTGATCTGAGACTGGCTAATCAATTATCCTACTGTCTTCTCCATATATACTCTGTTTTGTTCAGGCACGAGCATGCACACACAGTCCCTTACTCACGTCCTTGTGTTTGTACAGCAGCACTCTGCCCATTGAGTCATCGCCTGAGCTCCTGGATTAAACTTCTTGGATGAAAACTAGATAGAAACATTTCAAATTGTATTTTAAGTAGTGTCTGTATACCCAACACTCAGATGCTATTACAGTGAAATTTTGTCTGAGGATTTCCAAGTCTATCTTATATTTTTCTTATCTTACAACTCACTCATCCTGGGTTTTAAAGTTATTTGATAGTTTTTATTCTGAAATATTTCAGTATGGAAAGAAAATTTGAGAAAGTGATATCATGACAAAACCCAAAAGCCATCTTTGTTACTATATAACTCAAAATTGAGTAACCAGCTTGTGTGTCAGAGTAGGGAGCAGTGCTGTGTGTGCTGTATATGATACAGCTGTTTGTACTAAGTTAAATGATACCACCCTCATTTCATATTTTGATTTTATTTTATTCTGTTGAATTTTCATTTTGCCACAGTATATACTTAAATCACAGTTTTAAAATAGTTGGTATTCCCATTGGTAAGTGAAATGTCCTTTTATTCAAGACACACATATAGGTGGTTAAATGCTGCTCAGAAGTTTTTTCATTGCCATTTATTTTTGTTTATGGTTTGCTTCTACAGTGATCCTTGCCTGGTTTCTCCTGTACCATTTGTGACATTGCCTTCTGATAGAAAGCTATCCCAAAATACAAGGAAGGAGTGTTTTCTTGAATATACAGTGGGTACCAGCAAGGTCTTCCATAAAGGCTAGTCTAGTAAAGTATTTTAGGATTCCTAGGCTGTGCAGCATCTGTCACTGTGCTCCACTATCCCTGCTGTACGACTTCACTCTGACTTTGTAGCAGGACAGCATGTAGACCGTAAATAAATGAGTAGTGAGACTGTGTCCCAGTAAAGCATTTTGACAAAAGGAACTGTCTGCAAACTGTTTATTCCTGGTTTAGAAGTTTAAGACATTAATTTTTATTTTGTTTTGGGTAGGGAGAAAGTAGCAAATAAAAACAAATTAATGACATTTTTATCTGGTGTTAAGATAAAGAAAACCGTAAGAAAACTGTGAATTCATTGTGCTATTGATATCTAAATAAAAGCAAAAATCTATTGATACATTTTGTTTAATCATCTAATGTTCTGATTTTCTTCAAACAACATAACCAAAAGCAATTTATGGGAGAAAAGGGGATTATTTTAGCTCACACATTGTTGATCTTTGAGGGAAGTCTGGGTAAGAACTTAGATGCTGCTTACTTTCCTACTGATGTGTTTATATACAGCTAGTTTTCTTTTATAGCCCAGGACTGGTATCCACAGTGGGCTGGGCCAGGCTATCCTACATCTATTAACCCTCAAGATAATCCCCAGCAGACATGCCCACAGGCTACTGATCTGGGCAATTCCTTAGTTGGCATTCCTCTAGGTGATTTCAGTTGTATTCAGCTGATAGTTAAAGCTAACTAAGTAGTGACCTATTAGAGGACTTAGTTTTATGAAAGAAACTGCAAGTAGTTTAAATTTTTTATTGTATTTATTCATTTGTATGTATGCATGTGTGTGTGTACATGTGCATATATGTGTGCACATGCACACATACCACAGCACATATGTAGAGGTCAGAGGATAGCTTGTGGGGTTCATTCTCCTCCTGTATGTGTTTTCCAGGAATCATACTCAGGTTGTCATGCTTGCCAACAAATGCCTTTACCCACTGAGCTAGCTCAGTGCCCTCCTGGTGCATTGATGTAGAGAAATTGGTCTCTACATATGGTTCTGATGAAATGATTTGGTCTCTGGAGTATCTGTAGTGTATGTAGCTTGACTGGAATGACTTGTTGGTCTAAAAGTTTGGTAGCATCATCCTCAGATTCTGACTCTGAGAAAACTAATGTCCTCTTTACTGTACCTTTAATAACTAAAAAGTAGCTAAGCATTTCACACCCGACTTATTTTTTTGAATCCCACTGCAGTTTTAATTTCTTTTTTTATTAGGCGGGTAAACACCAAGAGTATGAACAGAAGCTACTGCAAGAATTATATAAATTAAATCCCAATTTTCTTCAGCTATCTACGGGTTCAGTTGATAAGAATAAGAACAAAGTGACACCTTTGCAGAGGTATGATACGTAAGTACTGACTAAATACTGATACTACTCTAGTCAGATGTCTTTCATTCCTGTTTGTCATTCTTTTCATTGTTTATGTCTTTTTAGACAAACTTCATAACAAGACCTGTCATTTATTCACCATCTTCAGCTATATAGAACTGTTAAGTCATAGTTTCTAAGTATGATATTTATTTTATTTTGTCTTAAAAAACAGAGTCTTATAGAGTAGTCTTTACTGGTCTGGAACTCACTGTGTAGACCAAAATTTTAAAGGAGAAATTGCTAGAAAATAATTTAATATCAGTTATATTAGTTTTAAGTGAAGCCATTTTGACTGAACATCTGGTATACCAGAGTTTTCTTTCAAAGAATTGATAGTGTTTTAAACTTCCTTTAACCACAGATAGAGGGCACTAGTATACTGTCTAGTAAAGGTATTAAAAGGAAGACTTATAAGAATTTATCAGTTTTTAGTTCATGAAGAAGTGTGCATTTTTGTCATCCCCATCTCCATCATCATCGTTGTTATTGTCATCTTTTTGTGTGTGCTATGCAAACAGTTTACAGCTGACTATCATCTCTTACTCCCCTTTGAAAGAACTTGGCTAATATTCTTACTGAAAATTAAATGAGCTCTGACAGACAGGTGCCAAATAAATGCCTTAGTAATTGAGTAGATTGTGAAGAATTAGTGCATTAATCCTCTTCTGTGGATTCCTTGGAATTAAAAATCATAAAAGGTACCAGGCGATGGTGGTTCCCGCCTTTAATCCCAGCATGAAAAGCAAAGGCAGGAGAATCTCTGAGATCGAGGCCAGTCTGGTCTATAGAGTGAGTTTCAGGACAGCCAGGGCGACACAGCGAAACCCTGTCTTGGGGGCATGGGGAGGGAGATGCTGTAGTGTAATATAGTTTGTCAAAAATGTACAAAATACTCTCTAGGAGAACTTGGCAAATCATTAATAGGTTGGTAGGTATTAAAATATATATGCACTCTGAAATTTTCTGCAAAATTCTATGTACCCATTTATATATGGAGGCATTGCTATGCTGCTAGCTAGAGAAGGCTAGAGGTGAATTTATGAATAGTAGAGAACAGTGATTCTCAAAGTATGGACAGGAGCCACAAAAGTGACCTTCATTTTGTGGATCTCTAGAAAGACTTTCCTTTATAGTAGACAAATGGTTTACAATCTCCAGTTTTATTTTTAAGTAAGCCCAGAGCTGTTTATTAGTAATTAAATGGGTAAAAGTCTGCTAAACTAGGATACTTCATTAAAATTGGTTAATTTCTTACATTAAAATTGGTTTGGTTTTCTGTTACGAATTCTGTCTTTATTTCTTTTCAGTCCCTGTCTGATTCTGATTTATATGTAGTTACTGCACATGTGCATACATAGTGGGTAGCTGTTAAGTCACCTGGGGGATGCTTACCCCACTTAAGTTGACTATATAGTTTAAGAAGTTATTAGAGCCACTGATCTAAAGGATTTGTTTAGAAAGTTAGATGGGGATAATGCGTCCCCCATTTCATAGTAACTAGTACTCGAGACTCAATGGCAATAGTGAGGTACTTTATGACCTTGCTAGATAGGGCACCAACTCAGACAAAGTGACAGGCAGACTGATTAATACTCCCATTAGGTGCACAACAGTCATTCTCATATCCCTAATGAGGGTCCTTTCCCCCTCTTCACCATTTGCTGAGTACTGCAGGAGGTACAATCTTCATGTTGTCTACTTTTTGTTACCCATTCCCTTCAATGCATATACCTAGTCATATAGTATACTATGGCCTGTACTTTTCCATCCTGAGATGAAAGTTTATTGTGATTTCTGAGCAATCAACACAAACAGATCTCCTCCAACAAAACTTTAAGCATGAATGAAAGATAGCTAAAAAGGCCTAGACAAATAGGCACTAGCTATTTGGACAGGGGACTCCCTGCTTATCTAAAATCCAAGGTCACTTGAAGCACTTTTATATTAAAAATGGACAATTGTGTATTCTTTATCACTGAATGAGTCAGGTTAGGGATAGGATATGAGAGCCTGGGCAAATGGCTCAGCAGGTAAGGTACTTGCTACAAAAGCAGAAAGACCAGAGTTGAAGTCTCAAGCACCTGTAACCTCCGTGCTGGCAGTTGAGGTTCCCCAGCTAACCCTGATTGTGATCAAATTGACAGAAAGCTGACTAACATGCAAGGTGTTTGAGCTTAGACTGAGCCAGAATCTCTAGAGATAATGACATTAAGCTTTATATTGTCTATTTTATTTGATTGAATTAAATAAATTTATTCAAATAAACATTTATATAAATAAATATAAAATTTATATAAGTAAATTTAAATATATATTTAGCTTTCAAAGAGTTCAGGTTAATTTAAAAATAGTTTCTCTTGGAATGGTATTTGCTAAAAATGTTAGCAAGGCTTTTTTATGAAAATCTTTATAAATTTTATCTATAGGGTTTATACATATTTTTCTGGACATAGTATTTATTTGTTTGTATGTGTTTGTGCATATGAATACATATGGTAGAAAGAGAGAACTGACTCCAGCAGTTTGTCCTTTGTCCTTCGTGTTCTGCTTGCACATATACTTGTGCACACACACAAACAAATGTAAAAAAAAGTATTGCTTATTCCCGTTACTCTCTGTCTTCTGGCCTGTGTCTCTTTTTTTCTGTCATTATCTTTGTTAATTTATACCATCTTTTTGTTGGAACTAATAATTTTCTATTATATGAAGTCATTTGACATAGGCTGTTTCCACCTTTAATGCTCTTCTTTTCCATTTCTCCTCTTAGTGTATAAATCACTTAAGTTTCATAGTTTAAAACTATCTGTGCAGTCTGTCAGATTATCTGGTGTGTCTCCCAGCATCTCTGTAGAAGATATGCTTGGGATTCAGGTTGGGTAGTAGTAGCCTGGCTACCTGCCAATCAGCGTTTATTTAAAACATAATTGACAGAATACAGAATTGTCCCACACCATTTCCCCTTTCCCCCCTTTTTTAAGAAAGGAAAATATCCATAGTCCATTTTTTGGGAAATGTGGGCATAGTATTCCAGGTTACTTTCTGCTGGTTTGGGGCACTGATAATCTTATGGGGACCTAAAGAAAATTTTGAATTATGATCAAGTCCTGACTGGAATATCCTTTGAGGCTTGGTCATCTCAGGCAGAAGTCTTGAATCTGTTCTGGATATAGAACTCAGACATCTGGGCCATCTGTTCCTATGGGAGAGTTTTCAGATGGTCTTCCTTGATCAAACCTGATTTTTTTTTTTTTTTTAACTCAGAATGAATCCACAGCCTCTCATTTTCTGTGGAAACAAAAGCAAAATCACTTCTCCAAAGTAACATACCTTTTGACTTCAATTTTGAAGTCAAGTTATTTTCAAAATACTTATCTTGGATTAATTTAGCAGCATTTATAAACAAGTATCTTTTAGCAGCTGTTGCTCTTTCCTCAGTATTTAAACAATTCAAAGAGAGCATAACATACATTATCAATTGGGCTGGAGAGATGGCTCAGTGGTTAAGAGCATTGCCTGCTCTTCCAAAGGTCCTGAGTTCAATTCCCAGCAACCACATGGTGGCTCACAACCATCTGTAAAGAGGTCTGGCGCCCTCTTGTGGCCTTCAGGCATACAGACAGAATATTGTATACCTAATAAATAAATAAATATTTAAAAAAAATACAGTATCAAGATTCTCTGTGTATTTTCCATCTTTATGTGGCTTTACTTTAACCTGTTTTTTTTTTTTTTTTTATTTTTACTCTTTGAGACAGATTCTCTGTATATCTTTGGCTGTCCTGGAACTCCCTCTGTAGACCAGGCAGTCTTTGAACTCACAGAGATCCGCCTGCCTCTGCCTTCCAAACTTTGGGATTAAAGGCGTGTGCCACCACACCCAACTTCTTTCTCTCTCTGTCTCTGTCTCTGTCTCTGTCTCTGTCTCTGTCTCTCTCTCTATTTTAAGGACTTTTAACCTTTAGCCTGCATATATTTTTAACACACTGTAAAACATTTAGGTTTTTTTTTTTTACTTTGAATCTTTTATTGTGTATCTTTATTTTTCTGACCACATGAGTCTTAATTTGCTAAGCAATATGGAAAGGATTAAAGTTGTTGCTTTGACAGCTAGATTTTTTTTCCATTTCTTAGCTTTTTGAGAAAAGGGTTAAAGTCCTTAAAATAAAGTAAAAGCCTATACTTCCTGCTTGGCTACTAGCCAATCAGCGTTTATTTAAAACATAATCGACAGAATACAGAGTTGTCCCACACCAAGTATGTGTCATTTATCTTGCTTGAATGTATAATATACACACTTGCCTTCTCCTCCTTAGATAAGATTAATAGTGATAGAAGTATTAAAAGAAATTTATGGTTTCTAAGTGCCTGTAGAGAACATTTCCATACTTTTTGTCCTCTGTCAAACATGCAGAAAAATAAGTTAATCACTGTTTGTTTTTGTCATTTTCTACCTCTCCCATCAGCCATTTATTTCAGCTTTAAGTTTTGAGGACTAATTAGAACATGAGTTTCTCTGGAGGAAGAGAAGGTTGAGACTTTCCCTTATGTGTTCTGAACCCTTACTATCTTACATAAGGTCTCACATTGTAGTGTTTGAAAAACATTGTTAAGATGACAAGGTGTTTATTCTTAACTTTGGGGGAGTTTTTTGTCAATTTTGTTTGTGTGTACATGTGTGAACGTGCACACATGTGCTTGTGTGCGTGTGTGCTTGTGTGTGTGTGTGTGTGTGAGTGTATTTTTGTTTGAATGATTTACTCTCCTTTTACTCAGTTTGTTTGTTTGTTTGTTTGTTTTTACAGCCCCATTGACAAACCTTCAGATTCTCTCAGTATAGGGAATGGTGATAATTCCCAACAGGTAAGATTTCGATAAAATTTCTTTCATATATCTGCTATAACCTAAAAGCAAAGCGTTGTATGCAAGTAATTTTTTTTCAGATTGGAAAAATACTTTAAATACTGACACAATTAAAAAATACGTTGATGGACTGCCTTGTTAAATGTATAATAGCAGGCCGGCGTGCTCCGAGCGCTCAGAGCAAAGCGCCGCCTGGCGGCCCTCGGCCCGCGCGCGCCCCCACCGAGCGAGCGAGCTGACAAGCGAAGATGGTGGGCCGCAACAGTGCCATCGCCGCGGGCGTGTGCGGCGCCCTCTTCATCGGCTACTGCATCTACTTCGACCTCAAAAGGCGGAGCGACCCCAACTTCAAGAACAGGCTGCGAGAGCGAAGAAAGAAACAGAAGCTTGCTAAGGAGAGAGCTGGGTTTTCAAAGTTACCTGACTTAAAGGATGCTGAAGCTGTTCAGAAGTTCTTCCTTGAGGAGATACAGCTTGGTTAAGAGTTATTAGCACAAGGTGACTACGAGAACGGTGTAGACCACCTGACAAATGCGATTGCTGTGTGTGGGCAGCCTCAGCAGCTGCTGCAAGTGTTACAGCAGACTCTCCCACCACCAGTGTTCCAGATGCTTCTGACCAATCTTCCAACCATTAGTCAGAGAATTGTAAGTGCTCAGAGCTTGGCTGAAGATGATGTGGAATGAGCCAGATATCAACACTATAAAATCTGTTAAAAATGATTTAACCATTAGCTTGGAAGCTGCTCGGCTCTGGGGGAATAAGGGCAAATGTGCTTGTCATGAACTGTCCTACACTGAAGTCTACCAAAGTGAATGTGTGCTTTGAGTAGATCCATTGTCTGTTCTATTTATTTTTTCCAGTGAAAAGTATTTTGATAGGACTTTTCATTTTATAAATACACTGAGTTAACCAAAATATCATGGATTTCGTTTATTCTTATGACATGGAATTCAAATGTAAATACAGTAAGTAGAGTATTACTGAGATAAAAACGCCCAGTGATGAATTTTGAAAGATTGGAAGAGAGTAAGAAGGATAGTTGAATAATGCCCATTTTTAAAGACTAGTACATTTTACTGTAAGTCATAAAATTGGATAGAAACATGTGTTTGTGAAAACTGAGCATTAAAATCTTACAGAGACAAAAAAAATGTATAATAGCATCTTTTCTTTATAGAATGTATAGAGCATGTTAGTCTCTTCTTTCTTTTTTTGCTTCACATCCACTCTAGCTAGTTGTCACATGTGTCATTGATCATAGCCATTCTGACAGGTAAGTGTAAGAGGGAATCTCAGAATAGTTTTGATTCATATTTCCCTAATGGCTAGTGACAATGATTGTTTCTTTAAGGCCCCCCCTCTCTGTCATTCATTTTTTTATTTTACATCCCTACCACAATTTTCCCTCCTTCCTCTTTTCCCATTACCTCCCCCTACCCTCCCACACTATTCCCCAATCCACTCCTCTGTTTCTGTTCAGAAAGGGGAAGGCCTCCTATGGGTATCAGCAGAGCTTGGTATGTCAAATTGTAGTAAGACTAAGCATCTCCCCTTGTATTAAGACTGGACAAGGCAACTCAGAATGAGGAATAGGTTCCCATGAGCCAACCAAAGCATTAGGGTCAGCCCCTGTTCCTATTGTTAGGAGTCCCACAAACAGAATAAGTTACACAACTCTCACATATATGTAGAGTGCCTAGGTCAGTCCCATGCAGGTTTCCTAGTTGGTACAGATTTTGTGAGCTCCTTTGGGCCAGGTTTGTTGTTCTGTGGGTTTTCATCTGATGTCCTTTACCCCTCTGGCTCCTACAATCCTTCCTTCTCTTTAGCAGGATTCCCAGAGCTCGGCCTTTTATTTGGCTGTGGGTCTCTGTATTTGTTTCCATCAGCTACTGAATGAAGGTTCTCTAATGACAATTGGGGTCTGATCTCACGAGATGGCCAGTTGCTAGAAGTTGTAGCTGGGGTTTTCCTTTCAGATTTTTGAAAGATTCTCTTGCATAAGGTTTCTGCCTGTCCCTGAAAAGCACCCCCTTTCCTGTCAACTCTTTAAGTACTCTCCCCCCCCCCCCCGCAACCTGACCCCTCAAGTTCCCATCCTCAGCAGTCTCTTGTCCATCCAGAAGATCTCTTTTATTTCCCTTTCCCAGGGAGATCCGTGTATCCATCCCGCCTTATTAACTAGCCTCTCTGGGTCTGTGGATTATAGCATGGTTATCTTTTACTTTACAGCTACTATTCACTTATGAGTGAGTACATACCATGTCTTTCTGGGTATGTATTACCTCACTCAGGATGATTTTTTCTACTTCCATTCATTTGCCTTCAAATTTCCTGATGTCATTGTTTTTAACAGCTGAGAATACTCCATTGATTAAACATCCCACATTTAATCCGTTCTTAGATTGAGGGGCATTTAGGTTGTTTTCAGGTTTTGGCTATTGCAAATAAAGCTGTTATGAATATAGCTGAGCAAGTTTCCTTGTGGTATGATGGAACATCCTTTGGGTATATGCCCAAGAGTGGTATTGCTGGGTCCCAATTTTCTGAGAAACTGCTGTAATGATTTCCAGAGTGGCTGTACAAGTTTACACTGCCACCAGCAATGGAGGGGTGTTCCCCTTACTCTTCATCTTCACCAGCGTAAGCTGTCGTTGGTGTTTTTGATCTTAGCCATTCTGACAGGTATAAGATGGAATCTCAGAGTCATTTTGATTTACATTTTCCCTGGTGGCTAAGGATGATGAACGACATTTCTTTAAGTGTTTCTCTGCCTGATGAGAATTCTGTTTAGGTCTGCACACCATTTTGAAATTGGGTTATTTGGCTTTTGATTTCTTGAGTTCTTTATATGGTTTGGAGATGCTCACTCTGTCAGATGTGGGATTGGTAAAGATTGTTTCCCATTCTCTAGGCTGCAGTTTTGTTCTATTGATGATGTCCTTTGCCTTACAGAAGTTTTTCAGTTTCATGAGGTCCCATTTGTTGTCAGTTTTAGAGTCTGTGTTACTGGTGTTCTACTCAGGAAGTTGTCTTCTGTAATAGTACATTCAAGGCTGTTCCCCACTTTCTCTTTTGTTAGGTTCAGTGTAACTGATTTGTGTTGAGGTCTTTGATGGACTTGAGTTTTGCATAGGGTGATAGTGGGCCTATTTCCGTTCTTCTACATGCCAACATCCAGTTATGCCAGGACTCTTTTTGAAAATGCTTTTTTTTCCCATTGTATAATTTTTGGTTTTATTAAGTTATTATTTTCTTAATAATCAAAATTACTTTGATAACCACATACAATTGTAGAGTATCACAATGCACCAGCATCCTTCAAATTGACTTCAGTTCCTGGTTGTTTTGATCCTGTGCAAATGGTTTCAGCTAGCTTGCCTTCTGAATTTTTACTTTGGAGTTGTTCCCCTGTTAGTGTTCCTTTCTTCTTTGCTAGCAAGTGTGGTTTTTGCTCACTATATATTCCCATAACAACAACCACACACACACACACACACACACACACACACACACACACACACCGATACACAGAAACTTAAACAAACTATAAAACTTTGCTTAGCTTTGTTGCTTTAATCTTCTGCTTTGTCCCACTAACCTTCTCCTTGGGGATAATGAAAGCTATTTACAGCAAGCCAACAGCTAACATTAAATTAAACGGAGAAAAACTCAAAGCCATCCCACTAAAATCAGGAACATGACAAGGATGTCCACTCTCTCCATACCTCTTCAGTATAGTGCTTGAAGTTCTAGCAATAGCAATAAGACAACATAAGCGGATCAAGGGGATTCGTATTGGAAAGGAAGAAGTTAAGCTTTCTTTATTTGTAGATAATATGACAGTATACATAAGCGACCCCAAAAACTCTACCAAAGAACTCCTACAGCTGATAAACACCTTTGGTAATGTGGCAGGATACAAGATCAACTCCAAGAAATCAGTTGCCTTCCTATACACTAAGGACAAGAAAGCAGAGAGGGAAATCAGAGAAGCATCACCTTTCACGATAGCCACAAATAGCATAAAATATCTTGGGGTAACTCTGACCAAGGAAGTGAAAGATCTATTTGTCAAGAACTTTAAGTCTTTGAAGAAAGAAATTGAAGAGGACACCAGAAAATGGAAGGATCTCCCTTGCTCTTGGATTGGGAGGATCAACATAGTAAAAATGACAATTCTACCAAAAACAATCTATAGATTCAATGCAATCCCCAACAAAATTCTTCACAGATCTGGAGAAGACAATAATCAACTTTATATGGAAAAACAAAAAACCCAGGATAGCCAAAACAATCTTATACAATAAAGGAAC